AAAGATTATATCGGCGTCACTACCAGAAACTTGGGAGTAAGGCTCAAAGAACATAGATACGCCATAAGAAAAGCATCTAATTCAACGATATTGTCACAAATGGCGCAAGCGCAAGGCTCTGAGGTTAAATGGGATGAGGCAACAATCATCAAGCCTCTGTCTTCCCCAACTCTAGCAATGACGGCGGAGAAAATTGAAATATACAGAAGTAGGATAGGGGAAGGCTGTTTAAATGCGAGAGATGCGGAGAGCCTACCATCGGCATGGAAATATTTGGTAAAGAAATACACTAGAAACTTCGACCAGAATTAATCCACTGAAGATTTATGTTATTTCTGTTTTAATTAATTAGTTAATTTATTTGTTTATATATTCTTCCGTTATTTTTTGCTTGTAAAATTTTTTTTGATTTAAATATTTTTATGTTCTATGTATGGAACATTTGCGTTCCATTTTTTCGACCTGAGGATGGCCTATTAACTAGGCTGAAAACGTTTGTTTTTGCAAATTATATTTATTTCTCGGCAAAAAAAAGGTGTTTTCGTTATTATTATTTAGTTGCTGAGCGCTTTTGGTATTATTTATTAGTAGTTTGATGCATATTGGACATAATAGTACTATAACACAGAAGCGAGGAAAAGAGCTTTGGGACGCTTCGAAAAAAGGAAAGAGCTACAAAATATTTTCAAAAGTATTTTCCTTTTTAATATTTATTTGTTGGGCTGGTATTTGAAAAAGAAAATGTAGATGTATTGATATAAATTTACACTGTCTTCGATGTGTTTGATTGTCTGCCCTTTTGTAATATCGAAAACGGAATTAGATACATTAAAAACATGAAGAGATCTAAAATTCTTAGAAGCAATAGGTTCTGAATAAGCGAAACGTTTTCTGCAGACCGGAAGTCATGTTATTTCTATTCAAATATTTTCTCCTGAAAGAAGTTAGATAGAAAATAGGCACGACTCTGTCGTTAAAAGAAAAGTATGATATACAGGGGCAAGATACTACAAATTTGATGTGGATAGCATATATTTTAATTTAAATAAATCAAAAATACGATTAAAACTGGAAGCCCAGCATTGTGATGATGTCATAATAAATGTAATAATTGCTCGATATTTATATTTTGCCATGTCTTCTGTTTCTATACTACTATTAAATCTGTGGGGTCACATAAGTTGAAAATCTTATTGAATTCGCATTAAAGAGATCTTCATCTATTTAACTCGGCCTCCCAAGATTAAATGTTGACTGCGCCACTAAATATATATAATATCTAAATCAACGTTTCTGGAAGTTTTCTGTGAATGGCAAGGGGTGGTACGGGTGTCAAAACACACAAACAAGTGTATAGACCAGGAATGGCCAACATACGGCCCGCGGGCCAGATCTGGCCCGTTTAATGAATTTATGTGGCCCGCAATCAATCTTTGAATATTAACTACTCAAGTCCGAATAGCTCGGTAAAAAATTCTGACGCCTAAAAAAAAGGTCAACAACTCACTGTGCGTTTAGAGTTAACCCTCCAATACAAATCTCGTAAGTACAGTGTAGAGTGTTGATAAAGCATGATAATGTGAAAAATGTATCTGTAATCTCTCCCTACAGTTCAGTCTCTACGGGGTGGCACCATAATGAGATCTCGCACCACCTCAAAATCTTGCTAGGGCAGCCTCTGGTTCGGCCCGTGGAAAGAGTTTCCTTTCCAATCCGGCCCGGGAGCAAAAACTGTTGGCCACCCCTGGTATAGACTGTAAAAAATTCTTGCACCAAGAGGCATCAGTAGCCCGAACGGTTTTGGCAATATTAATCGAAATTAAATAAATATCTTCTGTATTCCTTTTTTATTTTTCTCCCTTGCTAATGAGAGGTCAGGGGTTTTTTAATCACGAGCTACCCCCATTACGAGTTTGGCCTTCAGCCAAACTCGTAATGGGGGTAGAAGCCTGAAAAACTCGAAGCCTGAAAAAAGCTCAAAATTCACGCCGATTTAAATTATCGCGGAATTTCATTGATTCACATATAATACGATTATTTATGAACACGAACCAATTAGAAAAGGGTGGCAAAAAGTGTACTCTTTTTAAATCTGTTTGTTTGATGCAATTTTGGAAAAAATATAACATCACAGACGCCATAGGCAATATCGCCTTCGCTTGGAAAGAATTAACTAATAAATGCACGAACGAAGTGTGGAATAAGTTCTTTCAAATTTACGTTTACATTTGCACGTTTTCCTTTAATTAATTAATTAATAACGAATTATATTTTCGCTTTCATTTAGGAAATAACCGTAAAAATATTACACTATATACAAGAGTGTGGTAGAATGAACTGGATTACATCGAATCATTTTATTTCTTATATAACGTCATATCTTTTACAAATTTTGCTCATAATTGAAACTAAAAACTTAAAAAAAAAAATCATAGAAATTTTGTAAACTTGTAAAATTGCTTTTAAAAACTTCAAAAATAAAGTTTTGCATTACAATATAGATATTCTATATCTTTACTCAGTTCTCTGGAACTTACGGACATTCCTTCATCTAGTATATAACGACATGCCAAATTTCTAATTCGTATGTTACTTCGTGGGATGTCAACTTCATTAATTTTAGCTATTACACGAACTATAGAAGATTTCGGAACATAAATAATTCGATTCAATTTAACGTTTCCATTTTTCTCACAAATGGCTTTTTGTTCTTTTTCGGTTTTCCAACTACTGTATTCATAAAAAATCTTTACTTCTATTATTATTTCTACTTTTTTGTTATGGAAAATTGGAAGTTTAATTCCAACGAGGAAGCAATCTTCTTTAACCCATATCTCCGAAATGAACTGGAATTTCTTTTCCATATTCATTTCTTTACCGAGAATGGAAGAATTTCGATTACAATATACGAACCAAAAAGTAGGTTTTTCATTGTTTCTCGAGACATCTGTTTTACAAATGCTATCTGGAATCATTGAATTATCAGATGTTGCTTTGTAGTGTTGTATCGCATTTACTTCTTCTTCTGTTAAGAATTGTTTCGGATATACATAGCCATTTAAAAATTCATTATCCATTGTAAGAAATCTGATCTTAGGTAAGAATGGAGTCATGGCTTGTCGCAGCGATGTTTTCGAGTTCACTCTACGTCTTGCCCATTCGTAAACAATGTTAAATATAGTCATCTCGTTCAAATTTTCATATATAGGACGAGAGACGAGTCTACGAATCACAATTTCTCCACAGTCTAAAGCTTCTTTATTTTTAAAAAATACTGTGTTCCAATCATCGCTAAATTGCTTCCAGCAATAATATTGTAACTTATAGTCATTGATTTCGCAAGCAAACTCGTAAATTTCACAAACATGTTTTATTCGAAAAGGTTGGATCATATAATTTCGACAGTAAAAGTTTAAAGCAATTATGTTCAATCTTTCGCTAAATCGATAAATGTTCATTGCGTGCTTCAACGAGAAAAATTTTGGAGATTGTTTTTCATAAATCTGTATATAAGGAAATAATGACAAATAAGAATAGATCAGAATGTGATATTTAAATATATATTTAATAATATTATATTTCTCTAATAAAGCTTCATTAAAAGCGATTAAATTGTAATTTCTAGGCTCATTATACTGTAGAAAAATGCACTTATTTCGTCAGATTTTGGGTGTCGTCTACACTTATAACAGTGTAAGTTATTTCAGGATAAAAAATCTACTTGTTTTTATTATGTGTAATAAAATAAAATTAAATATATTGTAACATTTAATGATCAAAGAAAAACTTACTCATCGATTATTTGCAAATATTCGTATGCATAAGGTAAGTAAATATTGATAGATACGTTGTTCGAAAATGGTTTTAACATGGATGTTATTCTTGGGCTGTATTGACGAAACGTCGATCGTAAAACGGACATTTCTCTTCCATCCACAGAATGTATTTGAATCGATTCCATTATAAATTGATATGATGAATTAATTAAATTCTATTAAATACACTTTTGGACGAGAAGAGAAGATACTATTGTCGATTTAAACTATTGTTTCGTCATAAATAAATATCTGCTTATGTTATTAATTTTAATTCTTTTCAAATTACGTAATTAGGAATTTGGAATTATAGAATATATGTATAAATTACAGAATATATTTTTATATTTACGGTATTTTTAAAACACAGTTCGAGAATTGGAGAAGCACTCGTACTTTGGAAAATACTGTAAAAGAATCTATTTTCGAGTGTTATTTTGTTGGAGAATACCCGCAGTAAACGTTATAATTCTTAAATGCAAATACTGTCATTCCATAAAGTTTTTTATTCAAGCAAGCTTGCGTGTTATATCATATTTGCTGATGGAATATAGAATATTGAAAGTTTTAATGTTGTTTCGTGCCTTTTTGCCGGGATTTCTTTCATGAGGACTAATTATACGATTTTTGTTTTTCCTTTCCGAGCTATCTATTCTAGCTTTCATATGAACCAGGTAACATTGTCATTGCTGATGGTATTGCAGGTAGGGATTAGAATTGCTGGATTTTCATCCAACAATCCAGCTGGATGCAGCACATTTTTCGGCCCGTTGAATCCAGCACCAAGTGCTGGTTCCATCGGGCTGGATCCATCGCTGCGGATCCTAAATCCTCAATTAACTTTCTAAATAATAGCGCAAAAGTCTACGTTGTCGACGTTGCCGCTTTGCTACGTGCGCATCGCTTGGCGACGAGAGCGACGTTGCTGTTCAGTGCGGAACGTGCTACACTCCCTCTCTACACAGCACCGCCCGCCCCTTTACCTCTGCTGATTTAATTGCTAGTTGACTTTCCGCTCTAGCTAAATAAAGTGTCTTAGCGCTAAATAAAATAAGTAACTGCTATACTAGTCCTGGTGTATAATTCTAATTTATAGTTGGTTGTGACGTCAATGAATCACGTGACGGAACGATTGCAGTTTAAACTGGCCGTAGAAGCTCTCTGCAGAAGAGTCAAGTTTGATAACTGCTGACACAACCATGAAATTTGTCTTAGACGAACTAAAAAGCCAGGACACAATCTTGAGTGCCAACCTTTCCGAGGCACTCCACAAAAGAATCAGAGAACGGCGTCTTACCGAGGTCACAGAGATGCTGATTTACATACAGAACCCGAAGAAGTATGACCAAAAAGTAAGAAAGCTTTATCTTTCACATGCCGAAAAAAATGTAATGCGCCAGGAGATGAAAAATATGCTGAATCGTGTAAATACATACATATGTAGTGGAACCAGTAGCAATGGCAGAGGATATTACGGAGGTGGAAAACGATGATCCACATAACCCGGATTTCTTGAATTTCACATTGGAACAAGAATTAGAGATCCAACTAAAGCGTGAGAAAGAAAACTTCATGAAACGGAAAGAAACTAGTACTGAGAAGGATTATGATAAGTTATTAAAAAAGGAAATGGCTGTTTATGAAAGTGAGGGAGTCAGAGGTGAAAACTTTTCTTTGATTTATCATTATTTGATGACACTGAAACCAACTGGCCCACCAGTGGCCGAGTGGTCTTCGTACCCTAAACACTGGGAGTTCGGTTTCTATTTTTAAAAATGTTCGAACCGTTTTAAATTCGAATTGGTTCGATTATAAAACGATTGTAAACGTTCCAGAAAATTGATCAAATTGAAAATAGTTTGTTTGACTGGACATAAAAATTCTCTAATTAGTTTGGAAACGGGGGACCTAATTCTTGCATTCTGTGCTATAAGGGTGTGGGCGATATGGAGTTGAAAGTGGTTGACTTCAAAGATGTGTAACAATGGAAGTGTCAACAATAGAAGCGTTAACAGTGGAAGTGTTGAGTAACAAAGGAAATGTTAATATAAAGCGGCATGCAAGATTTACAGGCGGTTTTTCGCGTTTTTGCGGGAAATCGAACATATTTTTATGCTCATGTAAAAATTCTCTGGAAACGGGAGACCTAATTCTTGCATTTTGTGAAAACGGCTATAATGAAATTATCTTAATCTTCACTATCGTTACTTTTTGCCCACAAATAAAAACCCAGCGAAGTAATATACTACCTTGCAGCTAGTATATTAATATAAATTAATTAGCAGAATTACCTTTGCTATTATTTATCTTAAAGATTACAATATAATTATAATCTAACTAAACATTGAAAGTTAATTATCTCTATCTCAAGTGTTAAACCGAACCAAAGTTTACTACCTAAATATGTAAGAAGTTTTACTGATTTATAGTGACCAGTCTAAATAATAAAAGTTTCTTAAGTATTTAAAAAAAACTGTTTTATTTCTTTAAAAAAACCCATAAATTTTGGATAGATAGATAGATAACACTTTATTGCACCAAAAAACATCCGCACATCATTGATGTTGGACCAGCAAAAATCCAGCTGGATTAAAACATTGCTGGACTGCAATCGCTAATTGCAGGTTAATTAACAGGAAAGACTGTCTCTGTATTTTGTTTTGATACAATAAATTAAAAGTTAGTAACGTCAGAGTCAATAGATTACCTGGTCTCTGAATGCCTATTGTTCTCATCCTTAAACGTAGAACTAATAAACAAGTTTGTCGATAGGTTTGCTGTAGTCTTTTGGGCTCGTGGATTGTTTATTTCGTATACAGAAAAAGCTTTTTATTCGTATAAAGTAAATGTTATTAACTGCATAAGCGACTGTATTTTATAGAGCTAATCTACATTTAATAAAAACTAACTTAAAATTAATGACTATAAACTAATAATACATAAAATGCATAAAGGTTAATATTACATTAGTTTATGTTTTATATAGTAAATATTTTAAAAATTAAAATTATGTCATTGTCAATTGAAGTACACTCACTCAGCATAAGTACTGTAAATCAAGAAAATATAACACCTTAATTTGCTGAGAAAATTTAATGAAAAAGCAAACGTTTTCAGCCAAATCTGTTGGCCATCATCAGGCTGAGATATTCGAATATAAATAAAATAGAACATAAATTTAAATACAAATAAAAATAACGAATGGCATATACAGTAGAGTCTCGAAAACTCGGCACTCGATAACCCGGCAGTCCGGATAACTCGGCCACACCCTGGCAGGGCAAAAAAATCCTTAGTTAATTAATTTTCATTATAGACAGCTTTAAGCCTCATAAAGTATTTTTCTAAGGTCTGTCTTATCAGGTAAATTACTGTACACAGCGTATTCATTAATTTTAATTTTCATGTAGTAAAGGCTCTATGCCTTCATAAAGGACGTACTTTTCCTATGTTTAAGGGTATTTGGGCAGTTTATTCTCTGTTGTATTTTCAAGTAATCAATACATACAAGTACAGTACATTATTTTCTGAGGAAACACTTATACTTATTTTTTTTAACCCATTTCCGATAACTCGGCATTTTCACAAACTCGGCCACCCTTCGGCCCACATTAGGCCGAGTTTTCGAGACTCTACTGTAATAAGTTATTCATAAACTTTAATGCTATTTATTCAATAGAGAACTTTCTCATAATTCAACAAAATTATTCCTTGTAAGTTTTTATTATTGTGTAAATTTTAAATATATATATATAAATGGACGTGTGTATCCCTATATTTCATTTTTCCGCCAAAACTACACATCGCACATGAATGGTGTTTGTATGTGGTAGTAGCCCCAAGTCTTCATTCGTGCACTATGGTGGTTGCTTCTCGATAGCTATAAGGGTGCGGGAGATATGGGGCTGAAAGTGGTTGAAAGTGGTTTTCTATTTTGAATTTTATGCTCGAATTTTATGTTGCATAAAATTCGAATATTGGTTTGATTATAGAACGATCGTAAACGTTCCAGAAACGTTGAAAATAGTTCGTTTGACTGGACATGAACAGGAGACGTTCAGAAATACAATCGGGACCAGGTCTCTATTAGTCTGGAAACGGGAGACCTAATTCTTGCATTCTGTGAAAACGGGTAAGATTGGCTATAATGTAATTATCTTAATCTTCACTATCGTTACTTTTTGCCCAGCGAAGCGGGTCCTTGCAGCTAGATTCTAGATTACTTAGAAAAACAGTCTTTTATATATATATATAAACTATATTACATACAAGTGTACGAACAAATAAAAACCCAGCGAAGCGGGTCCTTGCAGCTAGTAGTGTAATAAAAATTATCGTACTTGTCTTCCTAGTTCGAGTTCGAGTTTTTGGAAATTCGTGCAAGAGCCTTGCAGTGTTTTTTTTATTTCAGACATATCCAGGATATCTATTTTAAAAAAATTTCCAATTTTACTAAACATGTGTCAGCATTTCTTACTTGCCGTTCTTTCTAACTCAATAAGAGATAACAATAGTGAGCAAATTGCACAGATTACCTAAATATAGTAAAAATCATATAATATAATAAGCTTACAACTTCAAATATATGATTATTATATGACTTTTAAATATTAATAGGTTTTATTATTTTTAATTTTTATTCTTTCCACCCTGTAGACATTAAGAAAAACTTTTAATTATATCCATCGTGGGTTCGGCCAGGTCTAAATTAAGAGCATGACAGATGAATCCCATAAGGAATTTTTAAAGTTTTTCTATCCATCGGATTTCATACGTTGTCTCAGGGCTTAGGTGAAGACGATAACCGCCCCAGCCACCCTGTCACTTTTCTTGATAGAATTATCTGGGTTACGAGACTGAAAAGAAGTAAATGTTTTTAAGTCTTTCACAAACCAAAGAAACGAATACAAACACGCCAGGATAAATGCGCATGATATTCCGACGCCCTAAACAGGCCTATTCGTATTTTCTTTTGTACTTTTCATTCTCATAAGTATAAACCTACTATAAATTTAAAATTAAACAGTCATAGGCAAATGATGTATTTAACACGAAAAAGTATTGGACTGCTGTCAAAGTTGACCGAAAAAACTTTTGCAAATCTTCACTCATATGAGACTTTCTAAATCCGAAAAAGCACGAAAAGATTTCGTGGATTCATGTAGGCGCGTGTGCGCGTGCTTTTCTGTTTGTGTGTTGACGTCAGGATGAGTTAATGATCAAAAACTTCAA